TATCTTTAAAATGCATTTCGTTGTTAAACAACTCAACTATAAATTGCCAAATTTCATATCATTTACTCTCTATAAATTTCATTTTATTACCGGTGACGAATGGGTACAAGTCACAAAGTCTCAATGGCATATATTTTGATTATGTTTGATTTATTCAGGTATAACTGCATTAGTTACAGTGGCTGCCAACATTTATCTTCAAGTGATTTTTCCAACAGGAAGAACAATGAGTTCCCAATTTCATCATTACAACCTCAATTTTTAGGGCAAGTGAAGGAATTTGGTTCCACTCAGCTGGCAATACTGATTACATGCCTGTCATTTACACAATGGGACCAAAGTCTAGATGTATCTGTCTACTTAAGTAACTGTTTTAGGGGAAAATAAGTCTCAACGAAAACTACTTAATGATTAAAAAATGTCAAATTTAAACAGTAGTTAGAAATTATTCTTCTTAAATACTGTATTTTATTTTTTGATTTCTACAAAACAATGACCACAGGGATGATTAACAGCTCAACACTGTAATCAGTATAAATGAGAGTACAAATAGAAATCTACAACATAGCTAATTTAGATAGAGAAAAACAAGAACATTTAGATGAAAGAGTAAAAAAAATCTCTCTCAACAATCCTAACAGAGACAACTCCCTCTGAATTTTTTTCAAATATGAGTAATGTCAATTTCTATATACTCATCTCTCAAAAGGTGGGTTCTTACACCCTGAATATTCAGCATTTGCTGTTTCTGGTGCTTGACCTAAGAAATAATGAAATTTTTCTGTGATGAATTAAGTAAATATTAAAAATCCTGTCCTGTTCAGGATACGTTTTATTCAAAAGGTTAAGGGAAAAAAAAAATACAGAACTCTTAAAAGAGATTGAGAAGTAAAAGTAGCTAGGGAAGAAGATGATTGTGTAACATCGTAAGTTAAGCAATCTGCCGATAGCCAGGGCGTTTCAAAACAAGAAAATAAATGGGCAGAGAACAGGTTTGGAAACATAAAATAAACACATGGCATGTTCTCTCTTTTTTTATTTTCCTAACTTGAAACAGAAAAGATAAAATTGAGAGAATGGGAAGGGTTGTTTAAAGGCTTCTGTGATAATATCAGACTAGTTGTGTTTCAGAAGACAGGCATGTTAATTACCAAAGCAGGACACGGCCCAACTAGTTGCCACATCAGTGACACTCAGTTAGGGCAGCAGCATCAAGGACTTTTAACATCCACATTACAAATGACTCCTAAAAGTACAAGCAAAGGAGGAGGGAAGAAAGAAGCCAAACTTTAATTAAAGCAAGTGAATGAAAAAAACGGCAGCTTCTATCTGAATGTATTTCCTAAATCTTGTGATATGTTACATCAAAGGTTAGCTTTATTATAAGTATTATCTAGGACTTTGAAATCGTGCATGCTATCATAGGAAGAAAGCATACAAGATTTAAAAATGAATGTGAACTTCACTTCTTCTCTAGAACAAGGCAAAAATATAAATAATAAATAATAAATTCAAACTTTCCTCCTTTAGTCAACCTTCTGGGGTAAGCCCCATGTCTGGGGCTACAAAATCCAAGCCAGTCAACCTGTGTATACAGGTTTTGCATTTATAAGTTGACTGAGCTATAGGAATGATCACTGAGATAATTTTATCATGGAGAAGTGAAAAGGCTGCAATTGGAGAAGCCTTTAGAAGAAATCAATCGTAGCCTCTTTGCTTAAAATAAACGTCACATACATTATCAAACATGTATACGGAACAGGTGGCTTTTTTTCACATGTACACAAAATCAGGAACATTGAGGGTTTTCAATTTGCATGGGATCTTTACAAATCCCTTAAGACTAACTCCCTGGGGGTGTTTTTGGTAACAAAAGTGTAATTGACATACAATATGACGTTGATTGCACGTATGCAACATGATTCGACACGTATACACTGTGTAACGATCATCACGAGTCAGTCCAGTTATCCTCTGTCCCCACACAAAATTCACGCTATTAATATTATTCAGTAGAGTGACCACGCTGTAAGTTACAGCCCCATGACTGACTTCCCTCTCGGTGTCCCTTACTGGTTTCACCCAGCCCACAACTGCCCTCCCCCCGGCAACCACAAATCTGTCCTCAGCATCTATATGAGTCCAGTGTTGTTTCGTTTTGTTTGTTAGTTTTTTTCATTAGATTCCACATATAAGTGAAATCAGACGGTACTGTATTTCTCTGTTGGGCTAATTTCACTTAGCAAAATGCTCTTCAGGTCGATCCTTATTGTTGCAAATGACAAGATTACATTCTTCTTTATTGCTGAGTAATATTCCATTGTATGTATATATGTACCCAACACATTTTCTTTATCGATTCACCCATCGGTGGACACGCAGTTTGTTACCATATCTTAGCTATTGCGACGAACATGAGGGTGCACTTATCTTTTAGAATTAGTGCTTTCCTTTCCTTTAGATAATACCTAGAAGTGAAGTTGCTGGATCATATGGTTATTCTTTTAATCTTTTGAGGTATCTCCACACTGCTTTCCACAGTGGCTGCGCCAGTCTGCATTCCCACCCACAGGGCACGAGGCTTCCCTTTCTCCCCATCCTCGCCAGCACTTGTTTGCTGATTTGTCAATGATAGTCATTCTGACAGGTATGAGGTGATATTTTATTAGGTTTTGATTTGCATTTCATTGACATTTAATGTTAAACATCTTTCCATGTGCCTCTTGTTTGTCTGTACGTCTTCTTTAGAAATATCTCTATTCAGATGATCTGCCTATTTTTTAATCAGATTGATCGTTTTTTCCTTTTGAGTTATAAGGGTTCTTTATATTTTGGCTCTTAACCCCTTACCAGGGGGTTGTGCTCTGTGCCTGTTCGCAGGCTTTCTATTTTTTTTTTTTTAAGAGAGGAGAAGGGAAGGAAGAAGAGAGGGAGAAACATCCGTGCGTGGTTGCCTCTTACGCACCCCCTGCTGGGGACCTGGCCCACAACCCAGGCATGGGCCCTGACTGGGAATCGAACCGGCGACGCTCTGGGTCGCAGGCTGGTGCTCAATCCACTGAGCCACACCAGCCAGGGCTGTTCATAGACTTTCAAAAGTAATTTGTAATTAAGACACTGAAAGTCTTTAAGAGTGTATTTTCCCTCTACTCCCGTTTCTTAAGTTTCCTTTTTGGTTTGATGACGGTTTCTTTCACTGTAAGTTGATATAGTCCAATGTGTTTATTTTTGCCTTTGTTGTCCTTGCCTTTGGGTCATATAAAAAAATATTGGCAAGACGACCTCAAGGAGCTTACTGCCTGAGTTTTCATATAGCCATTTTATGGTTTCAGGTCTTACATTCAAGTCTCTTATCCATTTTGAGTTAATTTTTGTGTAAGACAGAGGTCCACTTTCTCAACACCATTTATTGAAAAAAGAAGTGCATTTTTGCCTCCTTTGTTGTACATTAATTGATCTTATATGCGCATCAGAAGCGAGTAATAAGCATCATATAGATGGGTCTTGTTTTTTACTCATTCATTGACTGTCTTTTCAGGGGTGAATTTAGTGTATTTACATTTAAAGTAATTATTGATAGGAAAAGTCATAAGTAATTACTTATTCCATTTTGTTAATGAACACAATGGTGTTCTGGCCGTTCTATAGTTCCTTCTGTTCCTTTCTTTTTCTCTTGCTTTCCCCCAGTGGGGTGGCATCAGGAGCCAGAACGGAGCACCAGGTCCAAGGCCACGCGGGGGGCAGAAACGAGGCTGCCAGGGCCATGTGGGGAATGGGGACTTCCGCCACCGCCTGACACTCACAACACGGCATGTCCTCTCCCAGGCAGAGAGCAGTGTCTGAAAAGGCCTGCTCAAACAGGGTGACGCCTAAGCCCCGTCACGACTCAACAAACATAACTGAGTATCAGTCCAAAATTACTCATTGCGTTAAGCACCAGGACGACCTCAGCTTGAATGAGAAAAGACAATTAAAAGATGCCGTGACACAGCTATTGGAGTTATCTGAAGATTTAAAGCAGCCACCATAAAAATGCACCGATGAGCAATTACGAACATGCCCGACCAGATTATTCTCCCGCTTCCCGGCATTCTTATAGCCGTTTGGGCAAAACAATGTAAGTTTACAGATTTAAAAATAACTCTAGCTGATGATGTCGTTATGCTTCCCTCCGGTGAATCTCTAAAGTCCAGCTCTTTATCGGTAACTCTCCTTTGGAGCTTTGATAGTCTGCCTCTTAGAGCTACTTTTGTGTTTGTCTTACCGGCCCCCACTAGACTGTGAGTCTCCTAAGCTCAGGGCCTAGCCCAGCCTCGCCTTTATCGTTCCATTAGGGATGTAAGAGGAGTATGGGCACTTCAAGACGGGCGTGCCCGCCTCTGCTTCTTCTGAGACAGTTTAGCTCTAGGCGCAGCAATGTCTAATGTGTACTTGCTGATTTATACTTTCTGAAACGTCTCTGAGAAATATGGTGCAGAAGGCATACAGTCTGACAGTGCTGGAGACGGAAATTTTGATACATATAAGAAAAGGAAGAGAGAGAGTACTCTCGAACTTTAGTCTCATTAAAAAGAAATACAAGGAGGACTTACAGAGATGGTAGAAGTTCAATAATGGGATTCAGAGTTCTAAAGAAAAGTAAACAAGAAAACTAGCGGCAAAGAAGATACAGTTTCTCAAAGCATGTTTCCAGGAAGCTTAGGAAAATTTAGAAGCAAAATTCTTTCTGAAATTTCTTTCGGAAATTCTTTCCTCAGAGAACTGAACAATAGTGCCTGTCAAGATGTGGCCACAGAAATATTTAGAAGCAAAGGAAGGTATGAACTGACCTACTGTATGAACAAACGTTGCGTGAACAAATACTGTGAATGAGAAATATATATCTATGGATATACATAGTGAGACTGGATAAACACAACGCTGACAACTGTAACAATAGCCGCCTTCTTGGCTGCCTAAACAAACACTGAAGACAAATAAGCGGACTCTGCTGTGCTTACGTGTGCCCTTCATGCATGTCATTGTTGAAGAACATAACTCAACGACGCGCACGGCGGAAGTTCCCGCTTCCTCCGGTGGCACTGTGAGAACGGAAATCTAAAAAGCAGAAATACAGTATCAGACCTAGCTGCTTGGGCTCGTTTCTTCTGCCATTACAGTTAACATACAAACTGTCTTTTCTCAAATGCTCACTGACACATGTTCTAATGTCGCACTTCTGCAGCGAGTCTATATTTGTATACTATATATCATGCATTCATGTAATCAATAGATTATCATATTTCGAATATTCTTAATAGCTATTAAATGCACTTATTTTCAAAGGATACACTTCTGACTTATTACTTCTGAATTATGTGCACAGCAGTGTTTGAAATCAGAGGTTAAATCAATTTTGATTACTCATCGTAACTAAAATAGCAGTGACAAAATAGTAAAAAATTTTTTAAATGGTATGAATTCGAAAGATACTAAAACAAGCAGAATAGTGTCAACATATACACCAAAGTGGAGCCGAGCATATGCCAAAATGTTTCAAAGTGAATGGCTTCACGTCAATTTAAAGACTCCATTACTGAAACTAGAAACTCAGAATTAAAAGTAAAATGGAAAAAATTATTCTTAGTGTTTACTGACATATTATGGGCTGTCCTAGGCACTACGGATAAGCTATATGGCTTTCTATTTAAAAGACTTTAAATGACCATCATCAGTTCAATGTTTCTCTACAGAACCAAAAGTGTCGATATTAAATTTCAACCTAATCTTCACCCTGAGGAAACTTCCGGTAGAGCCTGTCACTTAGGAAATACTTGCCAAAAGGTAAGCCCCGCTTGGCCTTTGACCTGTGTGCATTATGCTTAGGTTCTGCCTGCCAATGCCCGCAAAGGCAACGCCTGCGACGAAAGAAAACTCTTTTGTTAACTATGACTACTCTGCCGTCATAGTACTTGTCGTGCATTTTTGGGCTTATGGTGCCTGAAAAACGGTGTTCTCCAGCTTCCTCTTCACCCTCTTTGCTGAGTGATTTTCCGTGACAGAAGATGTACTTCAGCATAAAAGAGAAAGGAGCCACTAAAACATGTATTTAATGCTATGCTGTAATTACCCGATGATTATGACTGAAACATGAGGGAGAGGTCTCTTAATGACTGCAAAAGCATGTGAGCGCTGCTTCTGCTTCCTACAATTATCATCTACATTTTTTTACAACTGGGATATAATCAGTGACCCACCGGCCATGGAAATTTACGTTTCCTGAACTCTGAGAAAAAAAAACAAGAAACCAAAGGAAAGGCCGATCAGATGTACATTTTCGATGGATCACCCTGCCTGATGTGCACAGGAAAAACGTGAAGGAGGCCGGATGAGAGGCAGGACAACTCTTTTCTTTTCCTTTGTTTTCTTTTCATTGTTTCACTTCATTGGCGTGGCGCTGCTTAACAAAACCACACAAGCTTCCAGGGTACAATCCTAGAAATCATCTGAGCGCTGTCTTGTGCGCTCAGCCCTCAAAGTCCACTCTCCTTCTGTCATTATCCACCCCCTTTACCCTTTGGCTGTGTCTCTGTGTGCTTTTTTTTCCTTCTTAATGCCTTCACCTTTTCCACCCAACCTGCCCAACCTTCATCCCTGACGGCTGCCAGCCTGTGCTCTGTGCCTGTGAGTCTGGCTCTATTTTATTGGTTTATGTCATTCATTAGATTCCACCTGTAAGTGAGATTTAGAAGGCAGAGGTAGTATTTCAGAACCGGAGCAGTGAGAACAGGGATGGGGAGAAATGACAGATGGGAGCGACTCTAAGAGGCACACGCACAAAACGGAGGCCCGTGAGATGTCGGAGATGAGAGGAGGAAGCCATTGGAAGGACGTCGGTGTTACTCGTGGGGGTGGTATGCGCTGGGTGAGTAGTTTGGAGGGCGAAGGCGGTGAGTCCCGCACTGCGCATGTTCAGTTTGAGGGCTCCGGGATACATGTCCCCCAGGACAATCAGCCTACGGGCCAACACTCCTGAGAGATACAGAAGTGCTTGTCACCAACGTTGACGCAGAGTTGAAGCCAAGAAGACTACATGGACTCAAGCAGCAGGGACACACAGCGAGAGGCTCTGTGGGCCGAAGCAAGAACTCTCGGGAGCCCCAAGATTTCCAAGGAAGATAGAGCCCACAAAGGAGGCGAGGGGGTGCGCCCAAGTTATGAGGAGAAACGGGAGAACAGGAGAGCCCAGTGTCATGGAGCCACAGGTGTACAGGATGTCGAGAGAAAGGGAATAATCGACATGGTCAAATGTCCCAGAAAAGACCTAGTGTCAAAACCCAAAAAAGGCCTATGGCCCTGACTCTTATGAGGCAATTAATCAACTTAGCAAGAGAAACTGTGGCAGAAATGTGAGGGTAGAAGCCACGTTGGTCTAGACATGAATGAGAGCTCAGGAGCTGAGGCAGAAAATCGAGATACTATCTTGACAATGTTGGTAAGAGCTGGGGAGAGACAGGACACCGGCTAGAGATGGGGCGGAATCAAGAGAACATTTTATTATTCATGGAACGGAAAATTCTAGAACATGTACAGGGTTGAGGGGAAAATGCGAGTCGTGGGGAGGGGCTGGAGATGCAGGGGAGAAAGCAGGGCGGTGGAACAGGACGCCAAGGGCCATTGTGTTTCGTACGCAGCCTCGCCTTTGTCAGTGAAGTGGGAGGTGGGTGTTGAGAAGTTTAAGGGGAAAAAACGGTGTGTAAAATAGCGAAGACCTGAATTAGGTGCGGAGAAGAAAAGCAGAGGGAGCTGCCCCAGGGCCGGGGAGGAGCTAACTGGTGGTCAGTACTAACGTCCCGCTGAATGCGGCTGCAGCTCCTGACACTGTGGCAATGCTGGCCTGTGTGGTTGCGGGCTTTTCTCCAGAAGCTCTCAGTGGTCTGGATGGACATTCTAGACTCATCCAAGTGCCGGGATTTTGCTCTGTGCGTACAGTGGAGGAACATGGCTGCATGGGGGTTGATGGTATTGGCGGAAGGGCAGCTCTGAAGATCTCCCATGGACTCTAGACCACGGGAAAGGAAGAGAGCACAAGGGAGCTGGTCATGTGGGAGGAAACCGAGGGCATGAGGGATTGTAATTCTCCTAACACGCTGATGCCCGGGCCGGGTCGGGGTAAAAGAATGGAAGCTGGAAGGACAGGAGCAGATTAAGGGCGCTGTCAACCCATGAGCTCCAGACTCAACTGGGACATCAGCCCCTCCCAGCCATGTGGCTATGCAATAGGTCACTCTCCAATTCTTGACAGTGATTATCTGACATATTTCCCTGAGCTGTGACCCACACTCACTCCTACACCCCCATTCTCTGGAGACGACCTCACCTTTTTAAGAAGATTTTCTTTCTTTCTTTGTGCAGAGAGGGCAAGGGAGAGAGAAACATCCATGTGTGGTTGCCTCTCACACGCCCCCTGCTGGGGACCTGGCCCGCAACCCAGGCCTGTGCCCTGACTGGGAATCGAACTGGTGACCCTTCGGTTTGCAGGCCTGCATTCAATCCAGAGTCACATCAGCCAGGGCTGGAAATGTGTGTTGATACTCATTCACAGCAAGGCCTGGGGACAGGCTTACCACCTGTCTTATGGAGCTGGTTACCATGAAGTCTTTTCCTCTAAGATTGCTGAATGTGTTCTCCAAGGATGAGCTTTTTCTTCTCAGAACTACGTATTTCCAGTTTGAAACAAGTAGTTGTTGGAAAATTAGGATTTAATCCAATTTTTCTAGCACAAATCCGTTATGTAAGATGCACTTACTTGCTCTGATGGAAGGAAATCTTTTAGAAGCCAAGATTATTACCCAATTGTCATTATGTATTTAAAATGTATTAAGCAAATTAGCACATGTGCTTAATCTATCTTACTTCCCAATATTCACAAAATTAGCAACCTGTCACTAAAAAGTACAGGACGAAAGTTACCTGTTGATCTGAATCCGCTTGCAGGACAGATCTATCTGTAATCAGGACCGCCCTGGAAATCTGCCTGTAATATGCACAAAACCGTTAGTCAGTGATTCGGATTCCACGAGTAAGTTTCATTTACAGTTATATAACCTCCAGAAGGGACGTTTCAAAGATTTTAAGTCACGATAAAAGGGTCACCTCCCCAAAGCGAGTCAAGTTCTGCTTTCATCTTTCACTGGCTCGTGAAAGGAAGGGCATGTGACCTGCAGACAAAGCCCAGCTGATGCAAAGGAGGCAAAATTAGTCTAGGCTTCCCCCCAAAGCCAGACCCTATAAGGTAACCATGGTAACACGTTCAAGACGACTTTTATTCCGTGTACGTTTGCATCTTCCTTGAAGAACGCTTATACGGAAATGCCACACTGAGATTTCCCTGTGTTTAACCTTCCCGTGGAGAGTGGCGGAAGCAGCGCCTTACCTGTATTGCACGTGCGAACACGTGTTCTCAGAAAAGTAACTGTCTTCCACGAGGAAATGCTTAGCCATTATTCTCTGACCAAACTGATCTATGATTGCTTTGCATCTGCAAAGAAGACAAGCATAGCAAACATGTTCTCATTGACGTCTGAATAACTGAGCAAACGAACGCAATCAGCTCCCAATTGTGAACCTGAAACCGACTGCTGCGAAGACAAGATTTTAAACCTGCCTATAATGTGACACCAAACTGACACTAAATACAGAATATATATTCTTATTGCTATTTGAAGTCTTTTAACTATAAAATAAGCGTGAGATAGAACTGAAATATTTATTTTGAATGATATTATTAAGAAAGAATAACGTTAGGAGACGCATATGTTTTTCTAACGTTTAAGAACGTAAGAAGCTTTTTCCTTTGTTTAGAAAACAGCCTCCTTTTCTTTTCTTAATAGATCTAAGACAAGAAAAGGTGATTAAATACCTTGTTATATTATCCACAGCCTGTAAAAGCCACTAAAGGCTTTTTATTTTTCTGTTACGTGTTGCTTTCTCTTTTGTTCAAGAATAGCTCTCTGGTCACATGTGTGATAATGTGTTAGACCAAAAAAAAAAAGGCCTAGAGCTTTGAATATCTGTTTCCACTTTACTTCAAAGGATGATCACAGAAAGATTTCTTTCAAGTGCTGTTTCCAAATAAGGAAAACACTTATGCATGGACATTATCAGGTCTCTGTCATCTGATATGCGCTGGGACAATGAATCATACAGAACCCTGCATTGACCTTCTTTCAATGTGTCTAGATAAAAGGATGAAAATTAGAATCCATCTCCTTGCAGTGCCACAAGTTATAAATGTACTTTATAGGGCTCATTATCCAAACTAATGGACTAAGGGCAACACCCTTCAAATGGACTTAGCACCACCGACGTAGCCAGTCTGCAGTATTTCAGAAACTATATGCAAAACCTGCATGTTTGCTGTGTCCTTTTATTATGGGACTATCACAATTTACTTCTGTCACTGCTTCTTCTTAGGGGACCAGGATTATCTTATTAGAAATATGCATACGTGTATGTCCTAACAAAATGCGGGCAGATAACTTCAAACCTACACCATATTTTAAATAGACTGGTATAAATTAAAATAGGGTGTATCACTCTAAAATTAAACCAAATAACAGATACTGACCAGGCGAAAAGGCATGAAAAATGAAATGACAAACACCCGAGATCACTAGCAAGACGAATTTCAGGTGCATTTCCTAGAGGCAGATGATGACGTGCTGGTATTCCTGAATGAACGGCCACTGTTGTTGGGATAGACTGTGATATCTCGCGACGTTAGACATATACAACATATATTTTAATCAATTAAGCACATATTAATGCATGTTAATATTTGTGATGGTTTTCCTATCTCACTCCTACTTCCTTTCTCTCCTCACGTGTCACTGAACGCTTTCTTGCCTTATCAAGTACTTGACCAGATGTAAGGTATTGATACCTCCCTACTGTATTTCCCAAAACAATGACTTGAAATGTGAAAAGGTAAGTTGTTCACTCAGACTCCTGTTTGAAAACATGCATACAGTTTCAAACACAAGACACCTTAGGCAACGGGGAAGAGAATCTGCAGATGCGTCATTAAACACTAATCCCTATTTGTTTTTTCTTACCTGTACCTTGGATACTAGATAAAGATAAGAGGGAATGATCTGGGCAGGAAAAAAGAGGCTGTTAAAACCTTCTCCATCTTGACAGGGATTTGGGTTATACACTTATATCCATTTGTCAAGAGTCAGCGCATGAGCACTTAGATCGGGGCACTCCATTCTGTGTCAATTTCCCATCAAAAGAAAAAACGCTGTAAATAAATATTAAACTTTAGTTAATGACACGCGTGCTGAGGTGTTCAGGGGGGAACTGTACTTCTATGTGGACTTTGCTGTGACATGCTTTAAAATGGTGACAAGACGGACGGAGGGATAAACATTTCAGTAGATATAGGATTTAAGCAAATATGTTCATTGTAGCACCCATGTGGTGGATATACAGGTGTTCGCCCTCCAATTCTTCCAGCCGCGGTATAGGTTTGACATTTGTCATCATAAAATGTTGACCAAACATCGGCAGGGGATGCTGTTAGTATAAACCCTGGACTCTGGTCTAAGTCTTTGCAAACAGCTGCCATTTAAATAAACCACGCGAAGAAACCTGGCCATGAACGATGGGGAACCCCTTGCTCTGTAAGAATCCAGACTCTAATGGGGCTGCGTCCGTGGGAGTCACACCTTTGGTGACAGGTTGACATTGGTTTCAGAAGTTATGATAGTACACGGAACTGCTGGGGACCAGTCACGACGGAAGTCTGGGGGCGTGGAGATTCGGGAGCTCGGTCATACAATATACCAACAACAGATGTGCCTATTTATGCTGAAGCTTCTGGATGGAACAGTGATTGTCAGAGGAGGAGGAAAAGGAAGCAAATCAGAATCACGCCCGGGGTACTTTTTCAAAGTATAAGTACCCCTGGAGATTCTGATAAGGTCCCAAGTCCCAGAGAGGAATCACTGTTCAGCGCGCCATTGCTACTCTTGTACTTCTCTGCTGTGCTAGGCGGAGCAAAGTCGGGAGCTATTGCTACAGAAAAAAACAAAACCCATTCTGATTTCCGCAGTAACTGAGTTTATGGTCACGTCCGCGCCGTCCCCCTGGAAGGTGATAATGTCACGAGTCACCTGAGAGTCTCATTCTGCAGTACTAAGGCTCTAGGCCTGAACAATTCAAAGTGTGGCTAAGTGAGTGAGGATGTGTTCCCCCCTCAGACACTCGACTTCCTGTCATATATTTGGCCTAACTGGGAGAACAAGGGCGAAAGGAACATTGATTTGGGACCTAGACTTAGAGCTAGGTATTATAAGATTAACATAAAAAATTAGATGGCATTCAGGTGATGGGAAACAGCCAAAGTGAACACTGTTGCCAGCCCCGCACGTGTGAACCTGAGGAAGCCATTAAAGGTGAACAGCATTTGGGATTTAGTTGAGGGCCTTGCTGAACCTCATAAATAGTTAAGTTGAGGAGGAACAGGACAGGAATTTCCTGTTACGGGGACACAAAGACAAGCTGGTCATAAGAATCACTGAAGCCAGACAGGACACTCTAGAGCTGAGGTTTCTAAATCAACACATCACAAGGGTATGAATGGCAAAATGCCGATGAGGATACAAACTCTCAGTAAGACGTCAGCGCTCAATCCGGAAATTTGGCCCAGAAGACGAAAATAACATTAAAACTGGTATCTGACCTTTATGATTTTCAGAATTAATATTCTGACTAATTGTACGGTTTCTACACAGTGTACAAACCGCATGTGAAATAATTAAAAGAAAAATATATTAATTAAGGATATTAGAAGATTCTCAGCCACTGAAAGAAACAAGACAATTCTCCCTGCTCGCTATGCCGTTCCATGACTTCTCAGGGACACTGGTTCCCATGCCACCTTAGCAATGACACGATTCCAAAATGCCTACCATGCATTTCTCTTGGGTGCAAATCCACTGCAATAGTTCCAAACACCATTAACCAGCTCTGACCAATCCACAGCTCCGTATCCATATTTTAAACTACTTGTCATCTCTTTCTTTCTGGAAACACTCCGAACGCTTTTTAGACCGAGCATGTCCCGAGCTGAATTCATCATGGCTCCGCACCTTCTTCCCCTCCTGGCACTTCACAGTTTTTCGCTGTTCCCACATCTCACCTGCTACTCAATCGTCATCCCACCTCATAAAGATTTCTTGAAACTCACCTCTGCTCTCCATCTCTCCCCGCACCGCCTCAGACCCTTGTTAAGTCTAATAAGACTGCTAGCAAGTAGCTCATTTGCTTGAGATACACGTGTGGCGTAGCAACGATGTGCGGATCACTGTTCTAGGGCTGAGGGTAAAAATACCTCGTCCTAAGGGGACTCCCAATCTAATGACGCCTGAGACACAGGCAATTATGAGACAATGCCCAAGTCCAGCGACGAGAGATGAGGACAGAGCATTCGGAGGTTACCAAGCGGAGGAGAAAGCGGTGGAGTATTAGGGAATGATCTAGGAGGAAGTACTACATGAGCTGCTTTTGAAGAATGAAAATCAGTGAAGCAAGCAAAGGAGAAGGATACTGCACACAGAAAGGAGCACGCGCAGGGGTACAGAGGCAGGTCGGGGTTCACGGACAAGAAACTGGAAGTGGAGGTTGGAGGGAGAAGAAAGATGAGCTTCAAGAGGCGGGCAAAGACCAGCTCCCCAAGCTCCACATGTCCCGGAAAATGGTCTTAAACTTCATTCTGAAGTGCTGTAAAGCCACTGAATCTTCTTACATGGGGAGGGACAGAGTCAGACCATCAGGCTGAACAGATCTCATCGTGTAATTATCTCATTAACTCATTTATTCTTTAATGATCCTCAGTAGACTCGAAACTCCATGAGAACAAAGATCATCACTGTCTTGTTCTCTGCTGTAACCCCAGAGCCTGACACCTAGAAAATAACATAAATTTGTTGTGTGGATGGCTGAATGGGGGGATGGATGATTATGATGGAAGTATTCCATGCATGTGAACAGTGCAGAGGCAGAATTATACAGAATCTTGCCCTGGCTGATGTGGCTCAGTGGACTGAACGCCGGCCTGCAAACCAAAGGGTTACTGGTTCGACTCCCAGTCAGGGCACAGGCCTGGGTTGTGGGCCAGGTCCCCAGCAGGGGGCGCGCGAGAGGCAACCACACAGGGATGTTTCTCTCCCTCTCTTTCTCTCTTCCTCCCACACTCTCTAAAAATAAATAAATAAATCTTAAAAAAAAAGAATTATACAGAATCTCTAATTTAGGAGGTAAAGAATCTCTTTGCATTAGTGTTTCTTCCAAAGCAGTGCCAGAATTACTGACTTAAAAGCAGCAAATTTAATCTTGTCATTTATCCACTTAAAGCTATCATGAATTAGAGTCCAAACCCCTTAGCGCAGCATAGAAGGATCTTCAGTAGCCAAATACATTAATAATTGCTACGGGCTAACATGTATTCAGCTCTTGCTATGTGTAACCAAGGGT